CCTCTCATACCTCTCTTCAGTCTAACAATAGGGTCTCTCAAGCTATTTACCCAGGTTGGCTTCAAACCACAGTCCTCCTCCTGATCTCTGCCTCCTGAGTAGCTAGGATTATAGGCGTGAGCCACTGGCGCCTGGCTCAATTGCTTCTTTTCACATAAGCTGGTTTAAAACAGTTTCTATCACTTGCTGGCTTGATTCATGACTGATCCAATTCTTTGTGTGTGCACACACATGTATGCATGCCCACATGTGCATGAGTGTGTATGACTTCTGGGTTTATATGGGGGGGATCCTGCTGTTCCCACTCATGGTTGTGTCTTTCTCCATTAGAGAGGTTTATGTTTTAAACCACAAATGAGGATGTTGTTGGAGAAGCCCTTATTTAGATTTATCTGTAGCATTAGGGTCACAGGATGGAGCCAGGATTTCTGCATCTCCAACTTGCAGCTCAGCATGGTGGGCTCACTGCAAGGAGCTCCAGAGAAGAAGGCTGTTGTTTGCCATGCTGATGTTTTCTGTAGCTGATGGTCTGAGCTACACACTTGCCCATGGGCCTCAATACACCTGGGAAACTCCTGGATGCACAAGGAAGCTGCCTGAGCTTTCCTAGGCTTCTGGACCAACCTGGGGCAAAGGGGGATTTGGGGGGGTAGGGAGAAGTGGTGGATATGCCTCCCATGTACAAGCAAACTGCCTATCTTTATCTCCTTCTGCCACTTACCTGGTACTGATTCCCCACTGCCCCGCACCCCAAGTTTTGGTGCCCTGCACACAGTTTGTGACCAAAGGTGAGTGACCAGCGGGGTCAGGGGTGAGAAGCATGGTAGGCAGGTTGGACCAACTCCCTGCACCAGTGGGAGGGGACCTGGGAACCCTTCAACGTGTGCTGGCCAGTCAACATGTAGCTGCCCACCCTGTTCCCTTCAAGCCCCCCTCCTTGGGGATGGACATGCCCTGGAGGTCAGGGCTGTGCCCTAGTACCCACAGGCACTTGGTAAATGTGTGTGAGTTGATGAAGGAGGAGCAGGGTCTCCTCAGGAGCTGTGGCCCTGTTCATTCACTAAGCCCTGCCTTTGGAAGCTGGCAGGAACTAATTAGCACTTTCTCCTGATCACCTATATTCCAGTCCCTGGGGCACTGTCACATGTCCCTTTCTCTCCTTCCTTTTCTTGGTGCTCTGGGACTTCCAGGCAGGGGCAGCTCCCCCTTGCTTACTGGAAGCTAATGGGATGGCTGCATGGTGGACAACCCAGTGTTCATCAGGACACGGACAGACACCCAGGAGAGCAGCAGCTCAGAGCAGGACAAAGGGGCTTTGGAGTCACTGCTCTGCCCTTTCACCAGATCTAGAACTCTTGTAACATCTCCTGCAGCTGAGACCCTTCAAAGCCTGGCTGGAGTGAGGCACCTGGGGCGCAGCCTGTGGTGCTTTGGGTCCCAGTCACAAGCACAGATTGTTTGAATAATTCAGATTCAAAAGGACCTACTTTCCCTTAGACCACTTCCTGCTAAAGAGCAGCAGGGGGAGGGGCATCTGAACTAGACATCCGCTCCCTGGTTTTGAGAGAAGGCTGGGCACTGAGCCAACCCTGGGCCATTCCTCCACCCTGGGGCCCTGTTCAGCCCGCAGCTGCAGCTGGCCTGGTCAAGGCCAGCTGGGTGTGGCAATGGACTCCGCTGGCTGATCTCTAAGATCCTTCCTGAGAAGGAGTGTCACAGGAAAACCAAGAGAGGCCTGGGCTCCTGGCTGCAGACAGGGCTCCCCTTTTTGTCCTACCATGGGGGAGGGGCTGGGCAGCAGGTGAGGGCCAAAAAATACAAGGGGTTGAAGGGGTAGAGGGAGGGGCAGAGAGGTTGGATTGGAGGCTTGAGGTACAAAAGGAAAGACTGGCTCTGTATGGTCTCATGGGCAGGCCCTGGATGGAAACTCTAAACTCCTGTGGGTTGCTATTGAGTCTGAGCAAGGTCCAGGTCACTGATGCTCGAAGGACAGCGCACGTAAAGGAGGATGAGGCCAGATGGCAGCCTGAGGCCGCAGCCAGGGATCTGAGAATCAGGGTCCAGGGTCCCCCCTCTCCTTCATTTCCCTCAACTTTGCCCCTCACACCCAGTCCATAAATACATAAATGATTTCAGAAGTTTCCAGGGAATGTCCTGTCCCACCCCAAACACGTACAGATTACATGGAACAGAGGCTGCAGCTCAAAACCTTATGCCTGAGCCAGGCCTGGTGTTGCTTATCTGTAATCCCAGCAATCAAGAGACTGAGGCAAACTGAGAGCCAGTGGCTCATGTTTGTAATCCTAGCCACGAAGGAGGCAAAGATGAGGAGGACTGAGGTTTGAAACCAGCCCGGAAAAATAGTTAAAGAGACCCTATCTTGAAAATATCCAATACAGAAAAGGGCTGGCGAAGTGGCTCAAGTAGTAAAGTGCCTGCCTCAAGAATGAGGTCCTGAGTTCCAACTCTGGTACCAGGGAGAAAAAAAGAGGCTGAGGCAGGAGGATGGAGAGTATGATGCCAGCCTGGGATACATAGTGAGTCCCTGTCTCAAAAACACAAAACCAAATTAAAAAAAAATCCACTGGCCTGGGAGCAGGAGCTCAAGCTCCCTTCACCTGCTGTCTCCACCATAGCCCTAGACCATACATGCCAGGAGGGAAGGTCCTGAGGGTCCCATGGCAGAGACAATTGGCCCCCTTCCCATTTTGGGCTGCCTTGCTTCTGCCTCAGCCTCTCCTCTACTGCACTCCTACTTCATTTTTCTTCTTCCCCTTCTTTTGTTTCCACTTTTAAGTCCTCGACCCAGATGAGCAATGAAGGCTGGCATCAGGCCAACCTGGATTGAGGACCATCTCTGATCTTTAGAGCCTGGCAGCCACTTGTCAGTGCCCAGAACCCCTGTCCCACTGATTTTCTGTCATCCCTGCCACTGGATATGCCCCAAGTCCCACCTCTCCTCTGAAGACCCCTGGGAAGTCTGGTGCCTAGGTCTCTCCTGGACATACAGCTGCTCATGTTCCTCTGGCCCCAGCCCTTTTCCAGGCTGTAGTACCTGCCCAGAACCTCCCTGATCTCCTTCCAGCTCTGGTCCTGGTTGCTGGATTTGGCTCCCTTACTTGGAATGCTACCACCAGCCCATTCCACCCACGCTGTGGACGTTCCCCAGGACCCTTTGTGGGGGGCAGGTGGAGCAGTGGGTGAGGGAGACTTCAAGGGGTTCACAACATAGCAGGAAGAGGGGCTTGGGGTAAGACAGCTGGGAATAGACAAACTTTCAAGAAATGAAGTCGGTGGGGCATTCTTTTGAGAGGGCTGGGCAGCAAAGTGCTGGAGAGACATCTGCAGAGGTGACACCAGCCAATGTCTGAACTACACAAGTTTATTGGGAGCGTTCTCCCTCTCCCCACACTTCCCGGGGAGGCAGATAGAGCCACAAGAGACAGACAGTGGGGAAAAGAGGAGGGACCTGATCTCTGTGGGGAGAGTGTGGTGTGATGGATGTTAACGGTTTCAAGCAAGAGTGACACGATTGATAATAAATCAGTTCTTGCTCCGCTGAGGTGAGGGACACAGTGACCCAACAAGGTCAGATCACTCAGAGCACATAGGGTAGAATGGCAGGACGATAGGAAACTGGTTATAGTTGGGATAATTGGAGGCAGGTTCCTCACTCCCAAAGCAGGAGGACACTCATACAGAGAGGAGAAAACTTGAATGACCTCTGCAGTGTTAGATAAGACATGTAAATTCAGGCGCTCAATGCAAATACAGATAAAAATGTCTACGTGACTGCATGCATGTATACATGTGTGCATGTATATGTACATATGTATGTGCGTTGCTGTCTGCTGAGGGGGACTAGAGGCAATGACCCCCCAGTAGCAGTGAGCACCCAGCACCAGGAGCCTGGCTTCTACTAACCACTGTCCACTAACAGGAACCAGGGCTCCTGAGAGAACTGGCAGTGTTCAGAGCTGGGATAGGGAGAGTACATGAAGAATTGGAGCTTCTTGTGCCCAAAATACAAGGGTAGACAATGCAGGGACATGTCTGTGCCCTGGCAGGAAGCACCCAGTGGACTGGGAGGGGCGTGAGGGGAAGGTGTAAAGTCCTTGCTTCAGTGTAGGCTGCCTCAATTAGATGGAGCAGGGAGTGGGACGGAGAGCAGGTAGTGGACTTGGCTGAAAGCTGTGCTCCTTTTGCCCACCCGCACAGGTGCACAAAATAAGGGATGCCTCCTGACAATGAGCAGGGACAAGGTGCCAGTCAGGTCAGGAGAGCAAAGAGGCGGTGTGCTGGGGAAGGGGAGAGTGATAGGGTCACTGAGGGTTGGTGCCCTGGTTTAATGGAGACTAGTGGATATCAGGGTGCAGGCCTGCAGGAAATGGGGCACTGGGCTTGATTTGGAGAGGCGGACAGGGTGGTTGGCAAGGGGTGGAAAGGGGAGCCAGGGACCCAGGCTCTTGCTGTTAAGATGAGGGAGAGGTGTTGGAATAGGGAGTTTCTGAGGACGCTTGGTCCTTCTTGACAGCCTTCCTTTCCCACCTGGGTTTTCGAACACAGCTGTCCACTCCAGCCCCGGCTGCCGCGCGCAAGGAGCCTCGGGCCCCACCCGGCCCTGCAGCGCTGCGGCCCACGCCCTCCAGGCCTGCCTTCCGGGCTGGACCCGTGAGCGGAGTCCAGTGGCTAAATCCCTGCAGGTTCACCGCCTGCCGGCCCAGGCGGCCGGGCACAGGAACCAAGCCCGCTTTCTGGGCACCCGCAGGCCTTGGGTGGGTCCCGCGGCCGCCGGCGTCGCGAGGCAGACATTAAAGCGGGTCTGGGGGCGTCACTTCTGGACGCCTGGGCTCGGCCGCCGGGGCTCCTTTAAGCCGCTCGCGCACGCGCAGGCCGGGGGCGGGGGGCGGGAAAGAGGAGGTGCAGCGTGCGCGCGCCCGGCGGCCGTGCGCAGTGACGCGACGTGGGGTTTCCCGAGGCTGCGGGCAGGGGCCGCCGCGCCCATCTCGATGGCTGGAGGCGTCTGAGGGGCGGACGGCGGCGGCGGCGGGCGCGGGCGGCGAGGGCAGCGGGCCGGGACTGGAGCAGCCGCCGCGCGGACCCGACCAGCCTCGCCGGCTCCTGCCCGCAGGCCGCGAGCGCGACGACCAGGCGGCGGCGTGGGCGCGTCAGGCCGGGTGAGGGCGAGGTGAGCGCAGCCGCCGAGGCCCGACCGCCCTAGGCCTGTCCGCGGCCCCTAGCCCCGTCCCAGACCCCGAGTCCCTCTTCGTGGCTACCCCGGCGGGGCCTGCCTGCCTCCCGCCTCGGGGGTCGCCCCCCGCCCGGCCCATCCCCGCCCCCACCCTCCCCGCCCCCACCCGCGTCTTCCTGCCCCGCCCGGGTGGGGCCAACGGGGACCAAACGGGGACGGACGACCCCTGGGGCGGGCGGCGACCCTACGGGGGTCGAGAGGTGGCCGGGAACCAGGGATAGAGGCTGGGGTCCGAGGGCTAGAGCCGGCCAGGGCCAGGGTCGGAGCGCGGGCTGGGCGCGCAGCGGGCGCTTCCTCCCGCGGCTGGAGGCGAGGGGACCCCAGATGCGCGGGGCGGGGTCTCGGGGGTGTCGCCGCGGAGCCGGAGTGGGGCGGCGTGCGCGGGGGGCCGGGCGTGCCGCGGGCACAAAGGCCGAGTCCCGGAGCCCGTGCCGCGCCGGACGCGTCTTCCTGCAGGGCATGGGACGGCGGCGGGCGGGAGCGGGCGGCGGCCTGGAGCTGGACTAAGCGGTACGCTGGAAGCAGGTCCCTCGGGGTCGGTCCCCGCACTACGGATCTCTTGCAAACGTCCTGTGCCGGGTCCGTGCCGTCGGCCTTGGACCACCCTGAACCCAACCACCTGGCGACCCCAGCGCGCGCGAATGAATGGGCGCCGCGTCCGGCCGCCGCGACAAGATGGCGATGCGCGCCTTTGTCAGCCGGGGCCGCGCCGCCCTCGGGCCGGGCGGAAGACAAAGGCTGGGGTCTTGGCGCCCGCGGCCTGGGCTGACACAGAACGGCCGGGTCCGGCCGCCCAGGCCGCGGGCGGAGGCGCTGGGGCCGGGGCGCGCGAGAAGTGGTGCCCGCCGGAAATCCCGGAGGGGAAGCGTAGCCTTGCCCTTCTCCACAGCCCCTCCGGTGCTCGTCGGCAGCTGATACTTGGCTTTGGACCCCGTGGGGTCCAAAAAAACATTTTTCAGGCCGTTCAGGAGGCACGCTTACCGTTAAAAAGTAGCCACAATTCAAGTGCTTAATTCACCTTTACCGAGGCTTTCTAGTTATGGCTGTGGCATTCATTGGCCAAAGGAAAACAGGGGGTGTCAGAATTTTCACTTGGAGTTAGTGGCATTTACAGCCCAGAAGCACATTGCTGGGCTTACGGGTAAACAACTTAGAGGGTTCTGTGTAACTGGTAATGTTAGTTTGGTGGTTCTTGTGTATTTTTATGTTGCGATCTGATAGCACTAATCTCAAGTAATATTTGGTGTTAAGCAGTTGCTTATGAGATCGATTATTAGCGAAGAAAATACGCTTCATGATTGATTAGCAAATAAATGTGGCATTAGTTTTGTGAAATTTCCAGTCTTCTCTAGGGACTGAATAATGTCTTTAGAGCAAATATTATTGATAAAAGTTTCTACATGGGTTCTGACTTCAAGCTATTGTTTGGGAAGAGGAGTCTTTATTTCACTATAAACCTAAAAATAAGGGTTTTAGTTTACATGCTAAGATGTAGTCTCTTCTGGATTCTTCCGGGAGGTACATATTGCAAAAAAGAAAGTGAACAAGCAGTTCCCTTTTTGCATTCTTACTGACACTGTGTACATGACCATGGATGGATCTGGTGCCACCAGTGTGGAGACAGGTCTGCCAGCCTCCAGACAGCAGAACTGGGTGGCAGCTTCTGGCTTGATTTAACATACGGCAGACCTTCCTGCCAATTAGAGTCGTCTAGAAATGGGGTGCACTTGGGAGGATTGGGGACTGGTCTCCCAGGGTCCTGTAGGGAGAGGCTGGCCTGCAGTGTCCTGGCTATGCTTTATTTCACAGGCACCGCAAGTCTGTCTTACAAGGTAAGTCTCTGGAAAGTCAGTCAACGTTTTCTGGTTGAACCTGTGCAGCTCTCTCAGCCTGCATGGTTGTTGCCCAGTGTCACACTCCTGGGCCTGCTGAGACCCTTTCAAGTGTGGTATTATACAGGAAATTGTTAGAACAGGCAACTTTAATTCCTAATTGATGCTGTCTTATATGAACACATCCACTGGACAAAAGCAACTCCTCCTGTGTAGTACCTGAGTTTACAACATGGCTATGTCTGTCTCGTTAGATGAATACTAAGCGCGGTGCCCTTTAGTGACGCTACTGGGGTTTGAACTCAGGGCCTGGAGCTTGTTGGGCAGGGGCTCTACTACATGAGCCTTATACCAAAGATTTCTTTTTTTTTTTTTTTTTTTGATGGTATTGGGGTTTGAACTCATGCTTGCCTGGGCACACTGCCACTTGAGCTATATCCCCAGACCTTAGTGACACTTTACAAAGGGTTTTTTTTTGTTTTTTTTTCCCTTTGGTCAGACTGGGTTTTTGAATTCGGGGGGCGGGGGGGGGGTTGTACTTACAAAATAGGCGCTCTGTCACTTGAACCACCATCAATCCATTTTGCTCTGGTTATTTTGGAGATAGAGGTCTCAGGAACTATTTGCTGGGGTCAAACTACTAATCCTCCCAATTTTAGCCTCCCAAGTAGCTAGGATTATAGATATGAGACGCCTTTTTTTTTTTTTTTTTTGAGTAGACCTCTTTTCACATCTTTTTCATACCTAGTGAGTTTCACTTAAAAGCTTGTGTCATTCAGATACATTTATATTGGTCACTTGAGAAATGGATTGGCTTTATGAGGAGGTGATTAATCTCTCAAAGAAGGTGGTGTACTATCAGAAGTACCAAAGTTTCTTTATATTTTACTTTTCTAAATTTTTTTATCTGTTATTACTGGTTTTATTGGAAAGTTACGGCTTTAAAAATAGCTTTGAGAAAGGGATGAAAAAAGTTCCAGGTGTCTCTAGACTTAACCTACCATCAGTTGGCTTTGTAGCTAATACTTTAATGAATAACATTGCTTTTATTTTAGAAGTGCAGTATTGGCATTTATTATAGTTTTTTCATTGGATTGTTTTTCTCTGCTCAAGCGATTTGGCTCATGTCAGTCTCTAAATTGGATTAAATTCTTACTGTATGTGGACTTTGGCTTTAGCATTAGTGGATTGGTAATAGATACTCTCAATTTTATTGTCTGGACTTGACCATATGGCATGTCATGTTATTTTGAAACCCCTACTTAGTGTAAGTCTCTTAAGACACTCAACAAAAATTTTTAGAATGTTCTTAAGCCTGGATTAAATTCTGACTTCACTTTGGTTTTTGTTGTTGTTGTTTTGAGATGGGCCTTGCTGTTTTCACCTAGGCCAATCTTGAACTCCTGAAATCCTCTTGCCTCAGCTTCCTGAACGGTGGGACTACAGAACTGCATTTGTTGATAAGAGTGTTTGTAGAAATTATGAAGAAAAGTTCAGAAAAATGGTTGGTTTAGGGAACATGAAATGAGGGATAAAAGAACAAATTTAAATTGAAACAAATAATTTACAAAACTAAAATGTTTAACAGTGATGAGAAATAGTTCAAATGCATTGTGTGGGGTATGTAAATGCACATGTGTATATAAAGATCCGACATCACTTTAACTGTTCTGGAAAAGAAATGGGGGACCATCCCTGTTTAAAAATGTAGACACTGTGGAGTTGGTCAGTGGATGAGTCGACTGGTAAACGCTCTTCCTTTTAACTTCCTGTTCTTGTGCAGTACTACCTTTAAGAGCCATGGTGATCACTGGAAATTACTGCTGGTTTCCAGTGATAGAAAAGCTTTCTGTTTTATAGATCACAGTTGCTTTCTTTTTTAAAGCGTTAAGAAGAGTATTCCCTGGCTTGTCTTCTTAAATTAGAATTCTGAGGGAGCCATTTCTAAAAGCTTACTGACTGAAAAGACCACTGTTATCTAAGGTAATTCTTAGGATTATTCAGTTGAATTAATTTTGCTATTGATAAAAGGTTATTATGAGTTAGTAACTAGTTGCGCCAAGCTTAATTTTTTTATCAGGTTGGTGGCGTGACTGAATGGCAGAGCACCTGCCTAGCAAGCATGCGGCCCTGAGTTCAAACCCCAGTAACGTAAAAAATCAAAAAAGCATTTTATCAGTGTATGTATTAACTTCTTAGCCCATGAGAGTTAAGAGTTCTACATGTAACTAACTGCATGATTGTTTTCTAACTCAGTCCTGTGGCCATTGTGAAATATATTCCTTACAAGGATTACAGACTTCCAACTACATGTCTAAATGTTGTAGTTATGATAAAGCTTAAAAAAATTCTGGACACTTTCTAATTGATGAGTGTCAAAGCCTGAAGTAGGTTTCAAAAGTCTGTTCTAGGAATTGGAACTATTTCCTAAATTCCAGGGAGTGTGGGGGGGAGAGAAATGCATTCGTTTTCCAAAAGAATTATCACTGAGTTAGAATTGAGTTCTGTCACTTAACTCGCTATGTTGGAACTTCATTGTGTTATCTATCACAGCCTCCTGAGAAGGGTTGGTGTATTAATGGGTTGACCACGTGTAAAGCACTCAGAACAAGTGCACTGTGTAAGCATTACTAGCGGTTAGTTAGTGGCCTCGTTTTGTAAGTTTCTAACTATAATGCTCAGTCCTGTTATAAGAAGACAAGTTACTGGGTGATCTGGGTTTTTCTTCCTCTTGATTCCATAGGAATATGTTAATTCAGGGTGTGGGATACACGTATCAGTTGTCTTTCTCCTGAATATCTCTTGAATCTTGTCTTCATTTTTTATTTTTGAAAGCCTTTTTTCCCCATTTTGGTGGTACTGGGGCTTAATCTTGCTTTTGAGGCAGGCACTCTAGCACTTCAGCCACTCTGCCAGTCCATTTGAAAGCCTTTCTTTACGTTGATAGGACAGTCTTAAACCTGTACCTCATATTGAAAACTGTCCAAGTTTATGTTTTTGTTTTTGCTTTTTTTTTTTTGGTGGGGGAGGGTATACTCAGGGCCTTGCACTTGTTAAGCAGGCACTCTACCACTTCAGTTATGCCCCCAACTCCCCTTTTAAAAA